ATCTGCTCAGATCCCTTCCAACCCTACAAACTATGAAACAATGTGTCAGGATTTATTTCCCCCCCGAGCCTGCCTCAGAAGCACTGGGTGTTGGTTGCAGCCATGGCTGGGCATTTTGACTGGGGTATGCCAATGCTCTTGGTGGGACTAAAATCTGGAAATTCCCAACTAGAGGGTTTTGGCCCTCTGCTCAAGATCAGACTGATCACCACTTTTGGAGTCAGGAAGGAATTTTACTCCATGGTCAGACTGGTATAGATTGTGGGGATTTTTTTCCCTTCTTCTGTAGCTGGGGGCACAGCCCTCTTCTTTGGATCTCCAGTATATTTTAACAATCCTGGCAGCAACAGGACATTGGCCGCCATGATCCCCCCACTTTCCCTGTGGCAGGTTAGGGTGGTATGTCTTGTGGTTGTGTGACAGGGTTGATTCTATCATTTTAGCTAACAGATTAGACAAGGATTTGTACGGAACCGTTTGTTCAGGGCTCACCCTGCCCCTGGCAAGGGGTTGGACTAGGTGACCTGAAGCAGTCCCTTCCAGCCCTACTTTTCTGGCTGTGTACCAGAGGCAAGTGAATTACACCAGCATAGGGCTAATTACCACATGTCCACTCCTTTTTCATGCCTGTTGCATGTCCAATGATTTTGGCGTAATCGTTGCCAAGGCATGCTTCCCTGCTACATAGACACAGAAGAAGTAATGCTGCACTGAACAGATTTACCTCTAAAACATGCTTCTTGCTTGATTTCTCTTTGGTGGCCCATGAAATAGTGGCCCCCAGCAGACCCACAGTATGCTCAGGTGTGGTCAGCATGGCAGGGTGTTTCTGCAGAAAGAAAAGAGAACTGTTATACTTGGGATCCATAGGACATGATGCTGCTATTCATAGCTGCAGTGGTCACAGGATGGAAGACATCTCTTTTTTGGCAGGCTAAGGAAACAGTCACATGGGCAGACTACCAAGCCCGTCCATGGCATTTCTCATAAGGGTATCTGGGAGGAACACCGGCACACATGCAAGGCTCAGAGCAGGGGGTGGGTAGGCTTCAGCTGGAGTCATGCTACGCTCCAGCCACTGACTTCAGGTACAGTTAGTGCCAGCAAAATGGCTGCTATCACAGAGGATTACTTTGTTGGCATCTGTGAAGCCTAGAGCATTTCTAAGGGTGGTATTACAAGTTACCTTTATACAATTCTGAAGTCACCTAAGACAGAAGTGTCCACACATTAAAGGGTGTTAAACTCTGCTAAGTATTTATGCCACTTCAGGCAAGGGTTATCTTTAGGTCATTCTACCTAGCTCAAGCTAGTGAATTGTTAGTCTGCTGCATGGAGATAAAGTGACCAATTTGCAGTCATCTAGCATCCCAGGATGCATTGCTTCCAGCCCTTCTACCCCTGAAAAAACTTTCTACCCTCCTAAACTTCACTGCCCAGGGGGTGGTACTGGCCCCAACTCACCCCCAGTGGGTATGACCCCAGCCTACATGACACCATACTGCCAACTCCAAGGACCCAGGAAGACCCAATCTGGGACCCTGGGCTGGATGCCAGGCCTGTGGCCCTTCCCCAGAGGGACAAAAGCTTAGCCCACTTCCAGGTGGCTCTCCCCTAGCCAAAAGAATTGGGGGGGTGGGAGGGAGGGGGGAGCATGGCTTCCCTTCCCAGCATCCCGCAATCCTGGGGGGTGGGAAGGGGATGCCTAGTACCAGGCATAGCAAAAGCATGGAGTCTGGGGAGGCATGCTAACCTGGGATCCATGTCATCACTATGGTTAGTCCCTGGCAGCTCTGAGCTGGGAGCAGAGCTACCGAGTTGCATGAGCATGGAGCCCAGGGCGGCATGCTTCCCTGAGCTATGTGCTTTTGCTCCCACCTACTCTGTGCCTAGAGAAGTGATGGAGTCCTAGCTCCTTGCCATGCCCGTTAGCTGATCCTCTAATGGCAAGTCACAGTTCTGCAGGTCAGAGATGGCATTAACCTGCAGCTGCTCGAAAACTCTGCTAAGTTCAACACCAGTCAACATGCCACAGATTTAGAATGGTTTAAGGGCAACCTTATGAATCTCTCTGAAAGCACAATTCACAGATAAAATACCAAGAGCTCAGAGTTGGTTAGGAGGTGATAGGCTGCTCAGCAAGCAGAAATGGAAGGCAGGAAGGGGGCCCCAGGCAGGATTGTCAAAGAGCCCAGATGACTTTGGAGCACAAATTCAAGATATTTAGTCTTAGGGACTGGACCCAACGTGTGTCAGATTTTTTTGTTTGTTGGTTTGTTGTTTGGTTGGTTTTGTTTTTTTTTTTTTTTTTTTGGGGGGGGGGGGGGAGGAAGTTTGGGGGTTTGTTGTTTTTTTTTTTTTAAGGGTATATAAAAGGTAGACAACACGGAGCCATACACCAGTGTTACCCTCTAACATGTAGCATTGAATTACCCAGGGGAAAACAGTAAGGACTTTTGCTTCCTTCCCAGGGTAGCTTTTTCCTCAATATAAAATGGCTTTTTCCTGCTCTTGTGCCACCTAGTGGCAAGACCCTATAACAATATTCGCCCTAGCAATTATCGCAAGATGATTAGTGGTTGGTTTGCTCCAGCCCCTGATCTGATGTACAATGGTGTACAACACTGATGCGAGTTACAGCTATGTTAACAGGCTGTGCCCAGGTCCTTGCTGAATTAAATGCTTTTGAGGATCTCAGTGCCAATGCCAGGGATGGCTGAAGCCCAAGAGTAGGTGCTCGATGCCCAATGGCCACCTCTTGAAAGCTGAGCTAAACAGAGGGCAAGCCATCCTGACACAGACTGTCCTGTTGAGCTCAACAAGAAGGGAACCTGAGGCGAAGAGAAATTAAGGGGGAGCTCCAGAGAAAAAGGAGTTGGAGGTGTCTCAAAATTGCATTTTATCCAGTGACTAATGTCACAAAATACACAGAAAAGGTCTGTGAACCTGGGAATACAACCTGTCTGAAGACAGTGTCTAAACTACTAGACAAATAAAACCTCTCCTCTCATGCTCGCTCAGTCCAAAATAAGGCTTGAGGTTTTTTTCAATGGGGACGCCCACACCAGAAATAGCTTACAGCCTAGTTGTCAAGGGGCCCTTCTGGTAGATTTGAGGAGAGATCTGACCCCAGGTTACCTCAAAGGCAAGGCGAGTGCTTGGACCACTAAGCTGTTGTATTGATGGGGCAGGGGGGTTGGGGGAGGGGAAAATAACCCCATCTTCTCTTCCTGCCACGGTTTGAAGAAAGCGGTGGTTAGCACTGCATTTTGTGAGGAGCTTAATGCTGCTGGGCATGGCATTAAACTGCATCCTCTGCTGCCTTGGGGTCACTTCTTGGTTGAAGAAAGGCTAAGGGACCTCACACTGACAGAAGAAGTGCTCATGCTGAGGTGACGGGCAGTTAGCAGCTCTAGTCAGGTTGCTCTGGCAGAAGCTCCACCCCGTGCCACTGAATGTCTAGACCTGTTCTGGCCTTTGGATTTTGGCTCAGTGGTCTAAAGGGGGATGACAGGTCTATGGCAGCCTTCGCTCCTCCATAACTCTGCCTAGGCATAATACACCTACTTTCTCGGCAAGATGGTTGCAGGGGTCCGAGAGGCATAAGGGCCCCGAGGAAGCTACCAAGATTTCCAAGCAGCCCTGTTTAGGGATGGACTGCTTGCCTCACATGAGGGTGGCCCTGGAAAAGGTTGTCAAACAAGCCCTGCCTCATTTCTTACATCCTGGCTCAACTGATTTTACAAACAGAATTACTTGCTAGAATATATGGACTCTGACCCCTGGATATGACTTTGATCTGAACTCAGGTCTGAGGAAAATGGCTGTGTTGAGTAATGAGCTTGCATGTTTCAGAATTGACATTACAGCTCTTTCGGAAACTCGGGTCTCAGACACAGGCTTCACATAAAGAAGGATTTCACCATGGCAAAACCTGGTTACTGGCATGACAAAGGAGGATTACTGGCATAGCAAACCTGAAGGAGTAAGGAGAGAGTATGGTGTAGGTTTTGGTCTGAGAAATTAACTTATGGACATTGCAATTGGAGTTTCCCACAATGACACATGTACCATGACACCTTGAGTTAAACTAGAGAAGGGATTCATCACCCCCATCAGGGTCTATGCTTCAACTTTGCAGGCTGGTGATGAGAAGGACAGACAGCTTTATCAACAGCTGGAAGAACTGATTGGCAGGATTACACAGAAGGAGCCCATTCTAGTACTTGGGAGACTTCAATGCAAGGGGTTAGGTCCAATGCTGAGAACTGGCCCGGGACTCTGGGTATGTATGGCATTGGACGTATGAGTGAAAAAGGTCAGAGAATTCTTGAGCTCTCTGCCAGTCAAGGAGTACTGGCGACCAATGCTTTCTTTGCTGGTAACATCAGAAGAACATTGTGGAGACACCTAAGGTCCAAGTACTAGCATCAACTGTACTTAGTACTGACAACACTTGAAAGATATCCTACATACACGAGCTTTTCAAAGCACAGACTGCAATGCAGGCCACTCCCTTGTCTGCTGCAAAGTGAAATTTTGAACTAAGAAAATCTATCGCAATAAAGCTGCTGGACAACCTTGTACTGATGTGTACCAAATGATTGAAAAGTTGTTTTTTGACAGGATCTTTGAAGTAGTAGCAAAATCAGCTGGAATGAATGAAACTGCATGAGATGCACAGGAAGTCCTAAAAAGAAGTATGTACAATGCAGCAATCAAGAGATTTGGAAAGAATACTAAGAAAAATGTCAACTGGTTTGTAGACCATTTGGAGGTACTGCTGCCACTTGCTGAGAGAAAAAAAAACTGCCTAATCACCTACAAGTCTACTCCTAATTCACTCAACAACCTAAGAGAAGCTTGTAAGGCTGTTCAAACAGCTTCCAGGAGGTGCATTCAAGAATTTTGGCTAGGTCACTGTGACAGCATCCAACAGCAGACAGTAGACGGTTGTGTGAGGACATTAGAAAAGCCATTGTACCAAAGTACAAGACAGCTCTGTTGAAAGACCTGGATGATAATATCATAATTTATATGGGGAAGCATCTGGAGAGGTGGATTGATATACTCAAGGGTGTCTGTAGTAGACTAATGTATGCTAGACAAATTGCCTGGGTTTGATGTTATGACTTTACTAGATGCCATATCTACATTAAAGGAACTTGGAACAATGCATCGAGAGATCCCGATAACAGATCTTCAGGATCTGACAGTTTACCTGCTGAACTTTACAGACATGCAAACAAAGGCTTGCTGCAAACACTGCACGAGCTATTGCTACTCTGTTGGAAGGAAAAAATTATTCCATAAGATTTCAAGGATGCTTATTTCATCCAACTCTATAATACAAACAAAGGAGACAGAAGTGACTGTAATAACTACAGAGGTACATCTCTTTTCAACATTGCAGGAAAAATCTTAAGTCACATTCTTTTACCTAGACCTCAAGCATTAGCTGAGACAATCTGTCCTGAAAGCCAGTGTGGCTTCTGCTTGGAAAGGCTCACCATAGATATGGTCTTCTCTGTAAGACAACTGCATGAAAAGTGCAGGAAGGAGTGCATCCCATTGTACATGGCTTGTATACATTTAATAAAAGTCTTTGACATGATTAGTCGATCAGGGCTTTACACTGTTCTGAAGAAGCTTGGTTGTCCACCTATGCTGCTAAACCTTGTAAAATCCTGATATGATGGTACGGAGGCAACTGTAATTTATGAAAACCAGGAGTCTGACTTATTCAACATCAACAACAGAGTGAAGAAAGCCTGCACACTAGCTCCCACATAGTTTAACATTTACTTCTCATTCCTGCTTCAACAAGTGTTCTGTGATGCTAGAGAGGACGTTTCTCTCAGTACTAGACATGATGGAGGACTGTTTAACACTGCAAGGTTCAGGGCTAAGACAAAGGTGAAGCACATCATCATAAAGGACCCACTGTTTGGATGATGCAGCCTTTGTGGCTTCCAGTATTGATGCCCTACAACACCTCATTACTAAGTTCTCAGACTCATGCAAAATCTTTGGGCTAGCAATAAACTTGAAGACTGTTATGTACCAAGGCTCTTCAGAACCAGTTCCAGATATCACCTTTAGATGGTAGTCGTCTGATGTTGTTGACCAATTTTTCTACCTTGGCTCTGTTACCAGCAACGTAGATCTTGATGCTGAACTCGCTAGTAGAACTGGCAAAGTGGCCAGGAACTTTGATCTTTTGCTAGACAGAGCCTGGAACAATAACAAACTGTCAACTAAAATGAAAATCCATATTTATGAAACTTGTGTTTTATCCACTCTTCAATATGGCTCAAACATGGATGACCTATGCCAAACTTATCAAAAGACTAAACAGCTGTCATATCAGATGCCCATGTAAAATTCTTCAAGTAACATAGCAAGATAGGGTGACAAATGTGGAAGTGTTAAATCATGCTGGTGTGTCATCCATGGGAATGTTGATTAGCATGAAAAGACTCAGGTGGCTTGGCCATGTCAAGCAAATGCCAGATCACAGGATCCTGAAGAATGTGCTGTACTCTGAAGCTCACAAAAGATCTAGAGAGAGAGGCAGACCACTGTGCAGATTTTGGGATGCTTGCAAAGATGACTTAGCATTGTTTGAAATCTCTGTGGATGATTGGGAAAGGAATGCAGAATGCCACTCTGGTTGGCAGACTTGGTTTGCAGATGGACCAAGGTGCTACGAGGCAGACTGGATTAAGTTTTGTGATGACTGGCATCAGGGGAGGAAAGAGACTGCTGCTTGGGATTCAGAGCATTGCTAGTATGTAGGTATGCCCTACCTGTGGGCAGGACTGTCACGTGCACTTCAGACTCAACAACCAAAGAATTTAACTGGCGCATACACCATGCTCTGTAAAGAACTACAGTAGCAATTGACAATGTTGCAGGCTCCAAGATGACCTCATGGGTCAGGCCCTTGGAGGACTGAGGTGGTCATAGTGGGATGAAGACACCTGGCTTTCAGGTCCTAAGGGGATTAGGCATGAGCTAGTGCTGAGCTGCTCCGACCACGGAGAAAAATAAAACATTCAGTGCCCAGGGACCTCCATAGGGCTCTTCCCTTTGGACCTAGGTGCAGCTCAGAAGGGGGTTTCAAGGTTGCAAGTTTGAACCGAGGTAGAGAATTTAGAGACTGGAGAAGAGGCCCAAATCCTTTTCTGGGTCCAGCCCAAGACCCTAAACTGAGAATATGAGCAAGGATTCAAGCCTACTTGTTCATATTTGCTACTGGTACCTGTCACCAGCAGTGCTGCTGTCTTCCCCACAGCTGACCCCTCTGAAGCAGGTGACAAGAAGGTAACAAATAGTTTTATTTTACTGGCATAATGTAACTGTGTTGAATCCTGGCTACTTAATGGGTCAGTAGGTCTATTCACCAAGTCAGTAAACCCATAGATTAAAAAATGGGTCAGGTATCCTGCCATGCATTAGTGCAGGGGGAAGGAGGAGTATCAGATTGACTTAAAAAAATAAAAATCATTTATAGCCTTTGCATCATCTCCCAATGCTTGTCTTTGGAGTAATAGTTTGCCAGCCTATCTTTCTCCACAACCCCAAAGGATAGAAACAATCTCTTTGAAACTGAAAACTGAGTTTCTTACCTAATCTCGCAACTCTAGAATCCTTAAATATAAAATACACTGAAATTTTCCACAAGACATAGTGGAAAAATCTCATCTTTCATTTACCCTCCAAATATCTGTGTTCTAGCCTTCTCTGTTGAAAAGCTATAGGTCTCCCAAATAGGAGATGAATGGGACTGGCACAGTAAAGGCTGCCTGAGAGCTTGCTATAAGAACAAAATAAAGCTTGCTTCTATTAATGTTATGGGTGGTAAAGGTTTGGTGGTGAAGCTCTGGGATTTCACCTTTTATACTTTAAGAGGTGGTTTAGCCTTATGTAAAGCTCCAAGGACAATCACTGGGAATCTGCTATGCACTGCAGTTCAATAGTGGTACTCAGCACAAGAATCACAAATGCAGTTCAGCCTCCAACTGTGATTTGGGAAGAGAATTCACATGCAGGGAAATTCCAGTGTGGAAGGAGGAGAGTGGGGAAGAGGACAGAATTCCTACACACAGGGAAGGCAAACTTTGGTGGATTCTCTCTCCTTCAAGTCAGTAATGCTAGCACTGGGCACATATTCATGGCATGTGAAATGAGCAGGTGTTTAGGGAAGGTGACCTGTATGTTTGGATTTTCTAGGATACAACATTTTCCACTGGTAAACCACAGTGAAGTTACTGCGCATCTCACTTTTTCAGGGGGTTGAAAGCCCATGTGCTTGCACCTTTTGAGCTGGGATTTTCTAAGCAGTCAAGAGCTGGGGAAGATATTCCCAAGTGAGATGAACTGAATTTAAAGTCCAATGGTGTTATTCTAAAAAAAACACCACCCTTTTCTAGTTCAGCTTAATGCAATTCTAAAGCTGATTAAACCACACCAGGAAAAAGGCAAGTTATTAACATAGCGGCTTGTTTGCTGGAGTTGTTTTACCTGTGGAGACAAGCACCAAAAGGAAGTTAAGAGCTCTAATCCCATTGTGCATCAATGGGAACTGAGCACCTAAATCCTCTTCACCCCTTTGAAAATTCCAGCCTTCCTTATCCACAGCTCAAGAGATCACATTAGGCATGTCAGCTTCTATAAGTCCCCCCAGATGCATCATTTTCTCCCTCATCCATTCAGTTCTCCATCTTGGCCCAGCCCAGAGAGAGTGTACAGTGATAGAAGTTGAAACCCTCATGGAAATGCCTCCTTAGAGCTCCCTGCACTGCATATGAAGCTCTACTTCTGCATGACTAGCAAGGAGCCTGTCTGAGATGAACACCCCTTTCAGAGCTATTTCTATTCTCATTTAGTTCTCTCCCTCTTACCACAACCAGTCACTAGGGTGTTGCAAGCCATCACCACATGAGCGCTGAGAGCCACAACGCTGCCCACCACAAGCAGCAGCAAGTCCTCCTCTCCTATTTTAAAGCAGGTTTTAACCACAGGCTTCGCTGGAGAATCTTAAGACTCTTTTCTACTCATGTTAATTTACTGGACTTCCTTGTTTTGAACACTAACTGGTGGGGGGAGGAAGACATAACCCTGGCAAAGCAGTTTGGTCTCTGCCTGCTGATTCATTCAAGAAGGAGACAGAACTTGGAAACTCACATGAACAGAGGGGCTTTTCAAAGCAACTGATGCCCTCTGTGGAACATTACCCAATTCCAGATCCCAGGGAGGGACTGAAATAGAGAACAAACTAACAAACAGCCTTCACATCTCATGGTTTTTGGGTGCAGGCAAGAATTAGACCTCATCTGAAAGCTGCTACCACATTTAGGTCCACAGGATGCTTCCTAGGGACAGCTGGAAGCTGGCTCCTGCAGGAGTCTTGGCCCCACCAGGAAAGGAGGTGGGGGGGAGGGTGGTATTATGCAGGCAGACTAGGGAATGCTGGTAAGCTGTCTGCCAGTTAGGTGCCTGGGAGCCTGTCAGCAGCTCTGGCACTGGGCTTAGTTAGGACAGCAGCCAAAGGAAGGCGTCTCACCAAACCACTGGAGGACGAATGCTTAGAATCCTTAAAGAAGGTCAAGATGCCCCCTTCCAAGACAGTCCAGGATGAGCTCCAGTTCTTCCTGGAAAAAGAAACACAAAAGGAGCATTAAAACCCAGTGGCAGTTGAGATGGGGAAGCCTGTGCCATGGTTTCTATCCCATGCTTTCCCCTTCTCCCAATAGTGATGCCCATTCTTAAATGGTGTTCTCCAGAGGAAAAAAAGAAAAGAAAAGAAAAGGTTCTTTTAAATACAGTCTAGAATTCCCAATTCAGGATGATGTTCTCTGCATGAAAAGCTCAACCCAGAAAGATGTGGTGATTGCATCTGAAGGTGAATCATGGACAGATACTGGAGCAGTGCAGCCTAGGACTTTCAGAAGCGGGGGGCTGTCCAGCCTTTAACACTCACCAGCAAGGAAGTGGTGAAGGTTGCCTGCCTACACAAGCCAATGCTTCACTGCAAGACTTCTCAGATCAGAAGCCCAAGGTCACTCAGGCATCTGTGGTGGAGCAGACTACTCGTTCAGGATGTCTGTCCTATTAACAAAGCCTTTCTTAAGCAGAAGCAGGACACACTCAGCCAAAAGCTTAAAAGCATGAAGAGAAACTAAGGAAAGTGTCCTGTTTTCCTTGCTCCTATCATATTGCTTACAACAATGTCAAGAGACCACCACCTTGTTCTACAGGGCTTTCCACCCAGCTCTGACAGATCCCAAAGACAATATCTCCCCTCCTCCTGCTTACACTATTAACAGTGACCTCAGGGCCTCGCAGCAGGTTGAACTGTGACATCGTCCATGCATTTGGTGTAGTATAGCCAAAGGCTTGGCCTACATTTGGACAAGGTAGTAGAGGGAGGCTCTGTGCATGTTACAGTTTCTCTCTGCCTCTTTCATGCAGACTGTCCAAGGAGGAGCCCCACTCCTTGCCACACTGCAGGGGACACTGTACAGATTGTACTCTCTGCACCACATAACAATAAAGTATCATCTGTTTCTTGATAAGCCAAAACCCTAGCAAGCTGCTCACTAAAACAAGCCCGGAAATCAGTGTTAAAGCTTCAGTCTGACATAAAAAGAAAAATAAATCAAGGGAAACTATACTTCAGGAAGGTCAGGCACCATGCTCCCTTGTGAAATAGGACTGATCAATGATTTAGTGGGTACTGGGGAAAGGAAGTGCTTCCTATTCAGGAACATGCCAATCTGCATATGCACCCTTAGCTCAGCTCAACTCTGGCCAAAATGAAGCATTGGGAGCTTCAGCATTTTGCATGACTATTTGGGTAAACTAAAATAAACATAGGGGATCACGATGGCACCTAGTGGGCAACTAGATCTGGCTCTCATGGAAAGCTTAGTATCATGTGGCTGAGAGCTGATTGAAGGGCCTCTGGGCAAAACCAGTGGCTTGTGTTGTGCAAGATTTAGACAAGATGATCTTAGCAGTTTCTCTGACCTTAAAATAGGCAGCTGAGTTGCAGACTATACACCGAGGACAGGCAGGAGGAAGGGGTTTGGGTCTGCCTGTGGTTTGCTGCTAGGAAGAGGTAGGTGGAAGAGGGGGAGTTTCTAACTCTCAGCCCTGTCCTTCTGCTTCCATGGTGTTTGCTTTGAGCATTGGGGGGAGGGGGAGGGGCAGAAGGGCTGCCTGGCACATTCAGGGATTCTCTTACCGTAATCGTTTCCCTTTATCAACTATTTTTGTCCGGTTAAGAACTCCAGCTTTGTCGAGGCTCTTGAACTGGAAGAGAAGATAGGAAAAGGTAGGGTTTAAAATCTCTTTCAAGCATTTTCTTTCCCTGCCACACCTTGAGAAACAGGCTTTCACACAGCTGACTTTCAGAATACAGGTGGGTGCAGCTGGCAGCCAAGAGCACTAGGTACACTTCCTGAGCATTAGCCAGGGCCTCCATACTGCCCCTTCCAGAGGAGTGTAGCTAGATCATGTGCCAGTCCAGGTAATTCACTCAGAAGGAGCCTGCACCCAAGAGGTACCTGAGCATATGCTTCACCCAAACCACACCGAGTATTCCCACTGAAATAAATAGGATTTCTAATAGGCCAAAAGCAAGGCATGGGCTTATGCCTCTTTTCCTGAACCTGGAACTTGCTGAACACAGTGTTGTGCACTGAACAGAATGAAGGTGGTGATACTTGAGGGTGGGAACACGCTTGAGACAACATTGCTGTACTCCAGCCACATAAATCAGACAAGATGTCATGTGTTGACAGCACTGTCCCAAGTAAGGGAATGTAGGGAAAGAGACTAAATTGACTAAAGTAAATCATACTGGTGTTCCTGACTTAGAACACTCCCTTTCTTGAATATCAGCTCAGATCACTCTGCCAAGATCAGGACCCAGGAAACTTTGCACATGTCCCTGTGGTTACCAGGAGGGATTGTAGTTCCATTCTACTGCACACCTTGAATGGGAGAGCCCTGGAAACTAGAGCAACTGCCTTGCATTTGTCTGCAGAGGTGCATATAGGGACCGTGGAAGTATCCCTAGCCTTTGCTGGCACATGGCGTCAAAAAAGTTAGAACTGTCATCAAACCTGCTGACAGAACTAGAAGAAACCACCTGGACACGGGGTTTCTGACCATTGCAAGCTCACCAAAAAACCAGCATCCATTCGGAGCCATCAATAGGTCAGAGTGATAGGGCTTAAGGGGATCTCCATCCTACGTCTCAGCCTACCACACCACATGAATGACAATGCATACACAGTCCAGTGTGATCGCTCCAGACCATCCATCCATAAATATTCTGGGCAAATAAATATCAGCAAGAATGAGAACCCCTGGCAGGCTCCCTTTTAAAAATCCTTTTCCTGCTTGTCTGCAGCACAAAACACACTTACCTTCTCCTCTTTCTGTACAAGTAGTGCTGGCATGACATTGTAGTAGCCAGCAAAAGGGATGTCTTGATTGGATCCACTGCTTGCTGTCCATTGATGGCCTGGGACAGAGACCTGAGAAAGGATGCAGACTGGTTGCTGACATTCTTTATCACTAGTAAGATCACAGTGCCTAGAGGCCCCAAGCAATGCTGAAGCCCCATCATGTTGGGAACTGCACACAAACATAAGAGACAGACATGTTCTCAAGGTACCTCATCACCAAAGTGATAGCAGCTCATGTCTGTGAACCCAAAATAGCATTAAATGAGATGTTTTGGCTTCTGCTAGCAGTACGGCTGTGGCAACCCACAGCTTGGTGCAGGTTAGCTATCCAAGAACCTGCTCAGCCCCTCCAGCAGGTTTTGCAGCCAGCACAGAGTTCCCTGCCCTTGCAGCTTAGCAGTACATAAGCAGCCTTCACATCAGGGACCACTATGTCCCCAGAAAGCCTAGGCTAGGGGCTGGAAGAGAACAGAAGCTCCTCAGAAAGAGACTGCAATTGGCTTTTAGATACTCAGCTGTTCAGTGATGGAGCTGGAAGTCAAACCAAATCTGACTATTGGCCCACACTGCTTCCCATTTTTCTGAAAGCTTCCCATCCACCCTCCTTCCTCACATCTCTGCCATCTGTGGAAGACTTCCTGATTGAACATGGTGGACAAGCCACACTAGGTTATCTGCTGGCCACATCCAGATTCCTGACCTGACCCCTGGCCAGTGACTGATACCTTAGAGTGTGGCACCTGGCTGGTTGTGCCCACCAGCACGTGGCATTAGTTAGAATTAATGGATGCTAAGGTCACAGCCTGAGCCAAGGTCAGGGCAGCAATACTAATACTCTCAGTTAGGCCACATTTCAGCTCTTAGAGACCAGTTCTGCATCAATAAGAATCCCTGCAGCTGTGGGGAATTCCAGGTTAGATACACCGCAGGTGAAGCAGCATTTTCTGCTTTTGCTTTAAAGGTGCTTGACATTACTCTAATAAGAAGTCCCATGCTAGCACAATGAAAAAGTGCTCAAGGGGGGTGTGTACCTCCACCATGGCCCCTTTCCAGATTTAATCATCCCATGGGTTGCTGTTTCTGGCCAGGAGGAGCCCTGCTGGATCAGTTCCTCCTGTCCTACATAAAAGCTTCCATGCACAGACTCTGCCCTCTTAACACACCCCAGCTTGCAACACAACCCTAGCGGTCCAGTGCCTGCATTTACTTCTATCACAAACCCTCTCTTAGGCTAGAAATAAGAAGTCTCCAAATGAAGCAGATCAGCTGCATCACAATGTGTTGCAGCACAGATGATCCCTTTCACTGGGTGAAACACATTGCCCCTTGTCCTGTACTTGAGGGTGCAGGACAAGGGGCAATTTGATCTCCCCGCTTTCTCTGCTAAGCCCGACCTATCCCTTGCAATTGCTGAGAAGCAGGTCTGGCCCAGTGGGGAACCCCAACTTCCTCACTTACGGAGAAATACCCCAGATGCCCCAGGGTGCCTCTTTAAGTGGCAAAAGCAGGCTGGTGTTCCGGGGGCTTGAATACTGCTCAATTCCCATGAACACCTGCCCAGGGTAAATGGAGAGTGTGAGCAGCTCAGGCTGCTCTACTCCCTCACCACACAGCTAACAGACATCTGCTGCAATAAAGCTGTAGGGTCCATTACTATTTCATCATGCCACTGATTTTCACAATTTGTTCTATCATTAGCATTTCTTACAGTGGCCCAAATGATATGTAAGGTAATGTCCATTTCCACTCTTAGATCCTGTCCCTCCAGGTATGTTTGCACAGAGCTAGGGACATGGGTGCAACCCTCTCCCTCCCAACACTGACCTACTGCTCTGCACTGATGCGAGTCTTGTGCTGGGCAGGCACCAGGGTAGGCATAGCCATAGGCTTCAGGTTTTGCCTGTGCTGTGCCCAGCCGGGACAAAGTGCTTGGAAGCCCCATCCCCACTTACAATGGCTCCCACTCAGAGGTTCAGAGCTTGAGGCAGAAGTCACTGGGTGAAGGCCCCTGCCCTGTGCTATGCAGTAGGCCAGACCAGATAGTCAAGAGTCCCTTTTGGCATTCAGATATGAGCCAGTGTCACCACTCCAAAACAAAGGGCCTTTTCTAGTACCACCTAACCTGCCCTTATCAGAGTGTTTACTTTCAGCCCACTTGCCAGTACCAGGTCATCCCTGCTGCTCCATCATGAAGTCAGGTTCCATTATAATCATACATCCTCTAACATGCCTGGGCTCCTTGTTTCTCACTCAGCCCTGCCAAAGTGAAAGAATTCAATTTCTACCCCGCTAGGCCAGTCACCTTTCAAGCATCCCCAGCATCTGCTCTATTCACCTTAATCTCCCATTGATTGCACTGGGGAAGAGGTAGGCAACATGTCCCCCAGCTTGTGACAGGCCTGTCTGGCCACCTGCCATCCCCTTCCTCAGCACCTCACGCTTCCTCCCTGGAGTGGACCCTCTGCCACTGCTGCCTCCAGCTTTGCTCCACTCCATTGCAGAGAGCTCTGGAAAAAGCTCCTTGTTCAAGGCAGATGAATGCCCTTTGCAGGACTTTGGCCGACCTACAGTCCCCTGGTCTTCTTGAGAAACAGCTTAAGGCATCTCGCACAGGGTAGCTAAGCCCAATTATTCTTCCCTTCAAGAGGCTTTCTGTGCCCCTCACCACCTCTTCACCAAAGACTACCCAGCCTCTGCTCCCATCCTCCATTTCTCTCAAGCACCACCACTGCTCCCTTTCCTTTGCCCTGGCCGTTCAGACTTGCCCACCATTCCACTTCCAACGTGCTGACTTCTTCCTTAGACACCTCCCCCAACACTAGTCAGGCTCCATATCCTCCCACCTTCAAACCATGCCATCTCACCCAGCCCCTGTTCCCTCTCTAATGACTCTAGCTTCACCCCCCCCAACCAACTCTGAGGGCAGGCAGTCACTGCTCTTGTGCTGTGGCAGTACTACGTACCGTGTCCAAGGCATAAGTGCCTGGATAGAATGACTGTCCCTCGGGATTGTTCTGGCCATGCCAACCTGGAGGCGAGCTCAGGTCCTCAGAGTGCCTCGGCATTGGAAAGTAATGGCAGGCACCATGCTCATAAGACCCCACCGGGGAGTAGTCCTCCTCAGGATACCCCTCTGTCTCATCAGGAGACAGATCTGGATAGTCTGTTTCTGGAGTTGGCGGCTGAAAACACAATAAAGGTCAGCTCTGCACACCTCTCCTTCCCACAGCTGCCATCCCACCCCCCCTCCTGAATCCCTGTCCAACCTCAAAAGGAAAAACGCAGCAGTGTGGTGCACAGGTTCCCCAGTGCCTGGATATCTTTCTGCTGGGAGCTCTCCAAAGCAGAGATACCATCCTCCTGGTAACTCCAAGTCACCTTCAAGGATCCTCACTGTTCCTGCTGCATCCCCCCCTGCCTACACATACCCAAGAGGTGTCCCAAAGTTCCTACCTCTTAAAACCTGCCCCAGATGCCCCTCCTCCCCAGCTGATCTCTACTGTGTCCCATGACTGACAGCCTCTGGCTAAGAGTGCCCAATGCACCCACCCAATATCCCCACACCCAGGTCCTGACCAGCTGCTCACCCGCTGGTCTGTGGGTGTGTACTGTGCAATTGCAGGATACATCTCTTGGGAGCTGGGTTCGTCTCCAGCTTGGGGGCGTTCCCACGATGTTTCACCTGTTACTGAATTATAGAAAAAAACCTGTCCGCTGGCTTCATCCATGTGCTGGCACCATTCAGCCAGCATAGGGCTGTAGGTGAGAGAGGGCGAGGGAGAGGTAGCAGGACTCACTCCATCTTCTAGGTTCTCAAATGGGGAGTCCCACGTGGTCTCGCCAGTCACTGGGTTGTAATAGAATAACTGTCCACTGTCTGTGTCTGTGTGGGTTTCCCAGTCTGCAAGGCTGCTGCTCAAGTGCTGCTTAGGTGGAGTGGAGGCAGCAGCTGCTTCTACTTCCTGCTGGAGTTCCTGTATATTCACATACACTGGGGCAGAGATCTTCTCTTTCTCCTCCTTACGGACCTGAGGGGGATGGAAACAGCATTCAGTTTAGCCAGCCAAGAACATTAGATCTGCTCTCCATCCAGGGGGTTGCAGCTTTGGACTGCAGGCAAGGAACTCATGGTGGTAGGAGAGCAATTGCAAAGAATATCCCCCTAGTATCAAAAATAGGCCACCTGCCCCAATGCTGAGGATAGGCAAAGGGTTCTGGGAAATAAGACCTGTGTCAGGTAATACCTGCCACCAGTGAGGATATGATAGGTCACCATGGGACACAAAACAGTCCCGTCAGACCAGAGCCTGTACCAGTGTTGTCAGCCCCAACCATTTCAAAATCGTACGTCAGGCCTCAAAAAATCATGGCCTGCCAGTTAAAAAACAAACAGACAAACCCCCCCCCCCCAAATTACTGGGACTTCATAATGAAATTAAATTTTGGTCAACACTGCCTCCTAACCCTAGACTCCCCTCTCCTGGTTAGGCTTCAGCTTCACAAG